GAGAGGAGGTGCTGCCAGGGGCTGCAGGCACAAGGTGGGACAGAGCCACGGGCAGGGTCCCCGCAGAGCGAGGGCTGGGACTGCCGGGGTAAATCTCTGCCCCATCGTGGTGCAGCTGCCCCAGCATCAATCCAATGTTTAAATGGATCAAAAGCAATGACTCAGAGACTTTCTGACTGTTAAGTAAACAGTCGGAGACTTAAGCTGTGACCCTGATAGTGAGCTAAACGTGTCATTAATGTCAGTCAGCACAGTTTACGGGAGATGGGTGTTCCCAAAGAGATGCTTTGGGTTTCGATTCTGCTGTTTTCACAAGACCGTGGCCTCATCACTGCACAATGCTGCAGATGCTGAAAGTTTGTTTACAAGGCTTCCCAAGGGGACCAGGTGACAACGTGAGACATCCTGGGAGTGGGTGGCATCCCTGCCTGTGGCAGGGGTTGGAACGAGATGAGTTTGAAGGTCTCTTCCCACCCAAACTATCCTGGGATTCCATGATGCATCTGTGACTCCTACATTCAATAATACGGAGTTTTGCAGGACGGGGTTTGGGGTCTCTGCCCACCCAGAGGCCTTAGAACAAGCAGAGACTCAGAGACCCCAGAGACCCACCCCAGCTGCAGCAGCAGCAGCAGCACAGCCGGGGGAAAGGCCTCTCTCAGCTGAGACCCACTGCTGCCCCCGGATCTGAACAGCCACTCCTCCATCCCTGAGGCTATTCCCGTGTCCCACGGACTGCCAGGGTGGTGTGGGATCAGGAGATCCACACTGACAGCCGTGTGCTGGGCTCTGCCTGTCACCCTGTGTCCCACCACGCTCACGGCCAGCCTGTGACCAGCACAGGGCGATGCTCTCACGAGGGCAGGGAATTACTGCAGCACCAGCCAGCACCTCTCTGAGGCTGTGCCATCATGTCAGGAAGCCACTGCTGTCTCATGGCATGAGCTGAGCTTGGGAAGAGACCAGCAGGGAAATGTGGCTGTCCCAGGGCAGCTCCAGGGGCAGGGAGCGATGCCTTGAGAGGCTCCCTGGAACAGAGGCTGGACAGTGCTGAAGGAATTAAGCAGGTATTTGATAAAAAGGCCTTGGGCAGTCCCAGAGCTGGCTGTGGCTCTGCCCAAGATGCACAGTGGGTCACAGGTTTTCACACTTTTATAAGTTTTGGTGCATTTACATGTCGGGGTTAATTGTCCAGTTACAGCTGGAAGTCCCATCCTCCCAGTAACTGCCCCCAGTTCACTGCTGTTTGTACTTTTGGGGGCCTGAGTCTGTGACGGTGACCTTGGTTCTTGGGCTGCAAAAGGATTGTTTTGTCTGACTGAACTATGAGGAGAACTCGCTAACACTCTGTGAAGTTCAGAGTTACATCCTGATGCAGCAGAGAATCTGAAAATTACAAAAGCTGAAACTTGAGGTGTCAGGAGCTCCGGTCCCAGTGGCATCAGCCCAAAAGTGGTGGTTGTGTCACCCAGGAACAGAAGAGGAAAGTGGTTGAGGCCACAGGCTGGAGGCAGTGTCAGGCTCTGAGAGAGCAGGTGGGGAGCTGCAGGGTGTCCATGCTGCTGGGATGATGCTCCTTTTTGTGGTGCTGTCACTCACCTGGGACGTGCCCTCGGAGCTCTCTGGCCAGCCCAGCTGCACCCTGGCCCTAGGATTGCTCTGAGGGAGCAGCAAAGCCCCAGAGGCCACTCCCTGCTTCTCCCCGGGCTCCTGTGGTCACCTCCAGGGAGAGGCTTCCCCCACACCCACTGTGAAAACCACACACGGACTTGTGTCTGACCACAGGCTCTGTTTGTTTCTGCCTCCCCAGCCACTCTCCGTGCCCCACAGGAGCAGGATTCCTCCCAGAGATGATGCAGAAGACGAGTGGATGTTCCCAGAACAAGTCGAGCAGCACAGGGAGTGACCCTGCTGCAGGTGAACACAGAGAGATGGGTGGGGGCGGGAGTAACTTCATCGCTGGAGTCTTCATCCAGGCCAAGAACAAGAAGTTGAGCATCTACGAAGCCATGATGAGGGGGCTGCTGACCCCGGGCACGGCGCTGGTGCTGCTGGAGGCACAGGCGGCTTCGGGGCTGCTCACGGACCCCGTGAGGAACGAGCAGCTCTCGGTGAAAGAGGCGCTGGCTCAGGGACTCATCGGCCGGGACTTCTACGAGAAGCTGCTCTCAGCAGAGGGAGCAGTGACAGGGTACACAGAGCCCTACACAGGACACAGGATCTCCCTGTTCCAGGCCATGAAGCAGGAATTCATCGTCAGGGACCACGCCATCCGCCTGCTGGAGGCCCAGATGGCCACGGGCGGCATCATCGACCCCATGCACGGCCACCGTGTCCCCGTGGAGGTGGCCTACAAGCGTGGCTACTTCAACCAGGAGATGAGCCAGTTCCTTTCTAACCCCGAGAATCAAACAAGAACTTGCTTCGACCCCAACACCCACGAGAACCTGACGTACCTGCAGCTGCTGCGCCGCTGCGTGCCCGACCCGGACACGGGGCTGCTGATGCTGCAGCTGATGGACAAGGGCTCCGTGCTCTACCAGCTGACCGAGGATGCCCGCAAAGCCCTGCAGGCCGCGCGCACCACGCTGGCTGTGGGGCTCTTCCAGGGCCAGAGCGTCACCCTCTGGGAGCTCCTCTTCTCCCGCTACGTCCCCGACCACCAGAGAGAGGAGCTGCTGAGGAAATACAAGGCGGGGACAGTGACCATCCTGCAGATGATGACCATCCTCACCGCCACCATCACCGGGGCAGAAAGGGAGAACGGGGCTCTGGGCTCAGCCAAAGCCAACGAGAAGGTGAGGGCGTCACCCCCAGCTCAGGACACGCAGGCCCAGGAGCAACAGCTGAGAAAGTCCTTGAAGTCCGCAACCGTCCGTGTCACTGCTGGGGAGTTCCGCGGGCAGAACGTCTCCGTGCTGGACCTGCTCTTTTCCAGATACGTCCCTCAGGGGAAGCGGCAGGAGCTGCTGGAGCTGTACAGGGCAGGGATACTGACCACGGAGCAGGTGGCCACTGTGGTCACCACCATCGTGGACCGAACAGAAGCTGCAAACGCCGCGCTCGTGGCAAATGCCAGGAGCCCACACAGGGCAGCAGCAGCGGAGGATGGAGAGGATTGTTCAGCACTCCTGGATGATGCCTTGAAGTCCACCACCATCAATGTGCTGGCTGGGGAGCTGCAGGGAAAGCAGGTGTCCCTGTGGGACCTGCTCTTCTCCGACTGCATCCCCGAGGAGAAGAGGCAGGAGCTGCTGGAGCTGTACCATGAACGGTTATTAACTCTGGAGCAGATGACAACTGTTGTCACCACTCTCATTAGGAAAAAAGAATCTGCAGGCAGGAAATTCCACATTACAGTCAAGGGTTCCAACAAGGACCCTGTGACAGCAGCAGGAGGAGGAGAGGGTGACGACACCCCCAGAGAAGAGCCATGGGAAACAACCTTGAAAACCACAATGGTTGACATCGAGGCTGGGGAGTTTCGGGGCCACAGGGTCTCACTGTGGGACCTGCTCCACTCCCAGTACATCCCCGAGGAGAACAGGAAGGAGGTCCTGGAGCTCTACGAGGCAGGGGAGCTGAGCCTGGAGCAGGTGAAGACCATTGCCACCACCATTGTGACCAGAGCAGCAGCAGCGAGGGCAGAGCCAGAGGCACCTGTGAATGGCCCCAGGGCAGAGCCAGTGGCCACCGAGGCTGAACCCACCCCCCTGCACGGGGACAGGGCCTGGGAGGAGACCCTGAAGGCCACCACAGCCGAGGTGTCCGTGGGGGAGTTCCAGGGCAGGCAGACCTCCCTGTGGGACCTGCTCTTCTCCCACTACATCCCTGAGGAGAAGAGGCAGGAGCTGCTGGAGCTGTACCGTGGGGGGACATTGGCCTTGGAGCAGATGACAACTGCTGTCACCACTCTCATTAGGAAAAAAGAATCTGCAGGCAGGAAATTCCACATTACAGTCAAGGGTTCCAACAAGGACCCTGTGACAGCAGCAGGAGGAGAGGGTGACAACACCCCCAGAGAAGAGCCATGGGAAACAACCTTGAAAACCACAATGGTTGACATCGAGGCTGGGGAGTTTCGGGGCCACAGGGTCTCGCTGTGGGACCTGCTCCACTCCCGGTACATCCCCGAGGAGAACAGGAAGGAGGTCCTGGAGCTCTACGAGGCAGGGGAATTGAGCCTGGAGCAGGTGAAGACCATTGCCACCACCATTGTGACCAGAGCAGCAGCAGCGAGGGCAGAGCCAGAGGCACCTGTGAATGGCCCCAGGGCAGAGCCAGTGGCCACCGAGGCTGAACCCACCCCCTTGCACGGGGACAGGGCCTGGGAGGAGACCCTGAAGGCCACCACAGCCGAGGTGTCCGTGGGGGAGTTCCAGGGCAGGCAGACCTCCCTGTGGGACCTGCTCTTCTCCCACTACATCCCCGAGGAGAAGAGGCAGGAGCTGCTGGAGCTGTACCGTGGGGGGACACTGCCCATCCAGGAGCTGCTGAGCACCACCAGCAGCCTCGCCAGTGACAGCCTCGAGAAGCACTTCAGGGCCCTTCCAGCACACACCATGGATCTTCTGCGCTCGGAGGGCTCCTACATCACGTTTGACCCGTCCCAGGAGCGCAGGGTGTCGGTGTGGGAGCTCCTGTCCTCCAAGCAGGTCTCCGAGTACAGGCGGGAGGCGTGTCTCGACACCTACCCCTCGGGAGGGCTGACGGTGAACAGGATCACCATCACCACCACCATCACCACCGGCCCCCGGCTCGACAAGAGCCACCCCCAGCACCACTAACGCCGACCCCGGCAGAGGAGGGTCCTGGGCACCTGTGAGACTTTGCTCTTCGCGTCCCTCCGTGTGTCACAGCGGTGACAAAGCCATGTGTGGAGGGGGTGGGCGCTTGGTTAAACTCCTGCTGGCTCAACTCTGACTGTGTTGGGATTTCTTTGGCCCGGCAGAGCTTTCCCAGAGGGGCTTTGGGGGTGTCCAGGAGCCCTGGGACAGCACGGTGCAGGGGCACTGAGCGAGGACAGGGACATGTGGAGCCAGCACCCAGCTCAGGTGGGCTGCAGACTGCCCTGAGGGGGAGCAGGCAGAGACCCCAGGGCGGGGGCTGTGGGCAGCAACACCCGGCCCCAGGGGAGCCACAGAGGGACAGACACCTCTTGTCCAGGACAGCCGGGACCCTGAGGCACAGCAGGGGCAGTGGTGACCTGTGGGACACTGGGACCTGACCTGTCCCTCAGCTCTGCTGCAGAACGGGGTCCCTGGGCTGGAGGATGGGGCTGCAAGCGCCCCTGGGCTGCTGGAGCTCGTGGCACATGAGCACTGAAAGAGAGGGACACTGGAGCCAGGGCTGTGACCTCTGTGACAGTGAGAGGTGACCAGGGGCACCCACGGGAACAGCAGTGCCTGGGGCACGAGGGCATTGCCCACAGGGCATGGGGTGCTGCCCCACAGAGGGAACGGGGAGACTGGAAATTCCTCAGAAGGGAGCAGGGAAAAGGATGAGCTGAGCTGTTTATTGCCCCATCTCATTATCCCACCCCACTGTCCCATCCCATCTCATTGTCCTACCCTATTGTACCACCCCAT